TAAAAAAAGAAAAAAAAGCATGTATTTATTTTATAGCAATATCACAACTTAAGCTTTATTCTGTGTGAGTCCAAAATTATGTTCATAATTTTTATTCCCCAATCAATTCTCCCTGCGGTCCTCTCGTTATAGCATTCACTGTATATACCCTTCAATTCACAACCATAACACATGACTGTTTCTTAAATTGTAACCTGTCACATATGTCCTTGCTAACCTCCAAAATCCACATTAACATAACCAAGTACACTGCCCACATACAACAGAAATTGTCATGGTGCCATTAACGATAGTAATTCCTAAATAAGGAAATAAACTAAAAGATAGAAAATTAATCTTAATTCTATTATAATTCACAATAAACAATTATAAAAAGTCCACTAACACATAACAGCTAGATACCATGCAAAATCCCAGAATCCACTTAATATAATTCCTCCAATGCCATAGCTAATAACACACCTCCAAATAAATTATTTCAAGACAATTTCCACCACCTTTGAATTGCACAGATCTACAAGAAAGAATTCTCAATACTTGCAGCTATGGCAAAAAAAAATTTTAAAGGTTCAGTCGTCAAGTATTTGACACAGTATTATCAAAAAGAATGTTCTTGAACTTGTATAAGCAAAACCAAAAGGAAAGAAAAGCCTCTGTCAATGATCAACTTACCAGAGCAACAGTGTTAGCCCTTTCGTGTTACCATGGCAAAATCACTTTCCATATATCTTTGTCCTGTTGCTCAGACTGCCAGAAACCATTTAATTTAGTTAAATGCCTTCAACTGTGGCTAATGATAAATGAAGCTTGTATTTAAAAAGCTTTTTACATTAGCATGTATAAATTTCCACAAGTCTGAATGTATATTACTATCTTTTATTCACTCACTTTTAAAAGTGTCTGAAGTAACTATGAACACTGGCAGACAGTTATTCCCATTATTCTCTATACCACAGGTGGGCTGCCTTCTCAACCACGACTTCAACACATTTAAGGCTATCAATTTGAGTGCTAACTAATTTACAGAGACTTTAAACACATAGACTCACTTTGCCATGTCACAGATTTTCCAGTTGAGGTAGCAACGTTTCTTCTCTCACGGAAACAGCTGAAAGCAAAGGGGAAAATATTTATGAGTTACTATTTGAGTAAAGGATTTATTAGAGAGACATACATTCTTTGGGGTAGAAAAATCAATATTAAAAAATAAGTCTGGTTTGAAATAAACAGAAGGGACAAATTCCACAAATGTGTTTTTCTACACAGTCTTAAAGGAAGAGATTTCATTGGATTTTACAACTATTTTCTTCTAACATCTATAATTTACAAAAATAAGTAATGTATTTGTCCAATGCTAGTATGCACATAAAGTAATTTCAAAACTACTAGCCATACAACTTATAGAAACAAATTTACTAACTAGATTTCAGTATTTACATAGTTTTTTGTCATTAGCTTTATAATACTGAGTCAAAAATGTGTCTGGCTCTATGAACATAACATGAAAATA